TTTTCTCTCTCGTTCCCGAAGAGTTCTTGCGCACGGTCTGTGAGTGGCACCGTGTGACCAGCAAAGTACCGATCCGCCATTGCTGCAGACAGGCGAGACCTTGTCCCCTCTGAGAAGGTACGGTAGTGTGGTCTAAACCATGCCCGAAAACCTCGAGTTCGGCCTATTCCAAATCTGCGTTTTTCGTAGGTCCGGAGTCGCAGTGTGAACGTTCCCGGTGGGACTAACAAGATGTGAACTGTGTCCGGACGGAGCGGCACAGGGCGCGGTAGGAAGGTCCGCAGCGGTGCAGACAACACAAATGTGTGCATGAAACCCTTCTCCACTTCGGCCTTCAAATCTTTGATTTGAACAATCTGTTATCACCAAGGTCTGCAGCGGGACCTATTTTACCTGGGCTCACGCCGCGTGCTGCACAGCAGGCCCTGCATTCTCTTACTAGTGGCAAATTCAGAATAGCCGTGATGGCTGAACATAGGTTGCGCACTTCAATACCATCCGTCTGTGGGGGTATGCCGCGTGAGTCAAGGTCATGTACAACTATTTGAAGATCCGGAGACATGGTAATTTCCCGAGTTGTAGCCTTGAGAGGCAACCTCTGCAGTAGGCTGGTACCAGTCCCCAGGGCAGCGGACGACACAAACAGGTCTAACTCAGTTGGTACACCCACGAACTGTTGAAAAACGGGCCCCTGTTCGAACTCCACTGGATGCAGATCAGCAGGACACTACCAACCGCTCCGCTGTTGCCAGTTGGGTATGCCACGGGGCTCAGCCCCGCTTGTATCCCTTGGGACATCCCTTAAAATTGGAATTAGTATGGCCCCTGCATTGGTTCCAGGCCTGGTTATACTACCCGAGAGCTTAGCTCAATGGGCACACTCATGAACACCTTGAACTGTTGAACTGCGGACTCCGCTGAAAACAAATGAGTAAAAGGCTGCGACAGTGAAGTACCTGGGGCCAACCACTTTCTGTGGGAATATCCCATTGCTGGGCCCACAGGTTAGTCCTTCGGGACATCTGTTAAAATTGGAACGATGCATAGAAGGTTAGCATTGCCCCTGCACAAGGATGACACGCAGATCTAGGGCTATACCCAACTATGTTGGCTGTTTCCCTGGTTTGGGCCTTGTGGGACTTGATCCCATGACCTGTAATTTGTATTTTTTTTGGTTGGTAGGCCTGATCTTCAGACCGTAGCCAAATAGCCTCCACTTGACAGCCCTGGGCCTTCAGCCTAGCTGTTTTGTCCCTTCCTGCTCTTCTGAGAGATGGGTAGGCCCCTAGGTCTATTTTTCTTTTTTTTGTTTCTCTCTCTTTTCCCCTTTGTTTTTTGTATAGGTTCCCATCTAGGTGCATGTAGACAGATCTCGAAAGATTGACCGTAGATGTTTAGCTATCTGGATGGTCAGATATGTTAGTAAGGTGACTGCAGTGCCTTAGTAGAAGAAATCAGGTAGAAAAGGCTGGAGGCCGCTCAGTCTACCTTTCTACTAGTGAGCTGGTGGAGACAGCGGTTGCTTCGCTGCGCTATTCTTTTGAGAGCATGTACGCAGGGCATCTCCCTCTTGCGCTGCTGATGGCCGTAGCTGGGGACGGGTAGCTCTATTGATGACAGAACAGGGCACGACGCTCGAGTGCAGGTGAACACTTTTTCGTAGTCATGTGCTTGCTTGGGTAAGGACAGTAGCCACTAAAGCCGCACGTAGCTCGTCTCCAACGTGGCAGATCTCCACCTCCATAGAGTTGTTGTTCTTCGTCATCATCCTAGGAGTTCCGCTCCCTTGGTAAAGTGAGCACCTCATCTACAGTGGGCGGGAGAAAGAGGAAGTAGAACTGTTAAAAGAGCGTGCATGAACCTGGCCGGGATCCGGTCCAGGTACGTGAAGGTGTGAAAGGGAAAGTGACGAAGGTGGGAAGTGGATACAGCGACGGGGAGAGAGGTGGCCAATGAGAGACGAGAGAGAAAAGAGTGTATCTCACTCAATTCTTAATGGAATTGAGTGAGTAAAGATGCTAATCGGAGGTTTTGGGGCATTCCTGATCAGATGGCCGCATCAGATTTTGAATCTGAGCAGCGGATTCTGAGCTATCAGAGGTAAAGGCTGCACGAAAATCTCCGCCACGATTCTAAATGTCTCAATGTATCTCCCCTTGTGTTGACGAAAGATTCATTTTTTAAATTTGCTCAATCTGGTGAATAGTGCGGCAGGCTAATGGGCCATTCTTGTGTGTGTGTGTGTGTGTGTGTGAGAGAGAGAGAGAGAGAGAGAGAGAGAGGTGGAGAAGGGAAGAGTGCATAGCTCGCCCGATTCTTGACGGAATCAGGAGAGAGAAGATGCAAACGTGATACATTGGGCTTAGGCGAACTCGAATCTGAGGTCAGATTAGCATTAAACTTAGTATAGAAGTAGCTAAATCGAAAAAACGCTGCGCGGAGGTGCCGAGAGAGAGCGGAAGTGGTGAGGGAAAAGGAGATATCTCGGTCGTTCCTCAACGGAATCGAGCAAATAA